ATGAATGATAACTAATAATATTAATGTGAAAAAATAATAGTTTTTATCAATGATATCTACAAACAATAATAATAATAATAATATAAAATACCTATAAATTACTAAATAATAATTTTATATTATAATAAAAATCTATTCAATTTTTTTTAAAATATATAATATAATAAATTTTTTTTTCTGTCTAATAATTACATTATTAATAAAAATTACTTTTTTTTATTTCAGCAAAAAAAACAACTATTATTGTTGTGTGAAGACTATATTAATTTAAACTATTGAAAGATAAATACCGTTTTTTTTGTGTGAGTCGGGAAATACCCCCTCCTAAGTGTGTTAGTGTGTGTGTGTGCGTCTGGTTTGACCTCGAAAAACTAAAAACTACAGTTCCTCTTACACACCAGACAACAACCCCCATCGACACCACACCACACACCCTCCCATCAGCTCCAGAGTGGACCGACAATGGAGGTAATGCCGAAAATCAATGGCAACCTCCTGGAGAATATGCTGTTCAAAGTTAACTACTATTATGTACTAACTTTCCTAATCGTATCGCTGGTCAAACTGTTGGTCATTGTCTATGATATCCTGACATTTCCCGTCTATTTGTTGGCCCAAAAGCCGTGGCAACGCCGGGAAAAGGCTTCAGCCATCCGTAGCCAACAGATTGATCCCGAAGATCCATTGTCGCCATGGGTTCAGTCGGTTGTTGCGCCCAAACATTTCATCGATTCGTGTCATACGGTCGATGAGGCCATCAAAAAATCCATTGACTATAACGGTCACGAAAACAATTGTATGGCCTATCGGGAGATTGTCGACGAAGAGGTTCATCATCTGAATGGCAAACCGATTACGAAATTAGTTCAAACCGACTACAAATGGGTTACGTACGGCCAGTTTGACGACCGAGTCAGTCGTATTGGCCGCGGATTGATACTGAACGGTGTTAAACCCAAAGATATTGTTATGATATTTGCCGACACATCCATCGATTGGTATACCTGTGCTCAGGCCATACTCCGGATGGGAGCGTCGGTCGGAACTTTGTATTCATCGCTTAATGATGAAGGTTTGTATAGTGGACTTTGATGATCGGGTGATGATATTTGGGAAGATAATGATTGGTTAATAATCGGGTGTTTGTTTTTTTCTCTCAATAAAGGTATTGTCCACGGATTGAACGAAACAGAGGTAACACACGTAATCACATCCAGACAATTGTTGCCGAAACTGTTGAAACTAAACAAACAGATACCGCGGATGTCGACTGTTATCTATTTTGACAATCGTGTTGCCAGTAATAAGACAAACAACGACGAAGACAATGCAATTCGCGACGAATGTAACGCTCGTACCGTCCGATTGGTACCGTTGCGCGAGTTGGAGAGTGCCGGCCAACAGGCGTCGGCCAATGGGATCACATTTGCGACCCCAAAACCCGAAGACATAGCTGTGGTGTTGTATACATCAGGTATGTGTGGGGATCTAATTATAGTGATAGTGATGATTGAATTAATAGCCTAATTATTGGTTGTTGTTTATCACTGGTCTTAGGCTCGACAGGAGTGCCAAAAGGAGTGAAGATAACTCATAAAAACTTTTTGAAAGCCATATATTCATACAAACAGCTGTTCAACAGTTTACTCGAGAGCCGCGACCAACAGCTTTATATCGGTTATCTGCCGTTGGCTCACATACTCGAATTGGTTACCGAATCGATTATGTTTATTGTCGGCATCCGTATCGGCTATTCGACGCCAAACACACTGACCGACACTTCGACAGCTGTCAGACCGGGCGATCGGGGCGATGCCAGTCTACTTCAACCAACATTTATGGTAGCCGTACCCTTGGTTTTGGATCGCATACGCAAAGGCATTGCCGACAAAATCAATCGCAAAGGACTGATTGCCAGAAAGGTATTCGAGTTTTTTGTCGACTACAAGACGTTTTGGTCGGAACAAGGTTTGTGATCCTATTTATTGTCTTTTAATTGGTATAACATTTGGTCTAAAATTTTCTTGTTGTTGATGACAATCATCCATCAGGTTTCGACACACCAATCATGAACCGAGTGTTGTGCGCTAAGTTTCAGGCAGTAGTGGGCGGCCGACTGTCCATCATATTTGCCGGCGGCGCACCATTGTCGCAGGACACACAAAAGGCCATCAAATCGTGCCTAAATATACGCCTACTGCAGGGCTACGGTTCTACTGAGACATCGATGGTCGGCTGTATTATGGATATGGACGACACCACTTTCGGTCGGGTGGGCGCACCGTTGATCGACACCAAAGTTACATTGATTAACTGGGAAGAGGGCGGCTATCGTAACACCGATAGACCCAATCCTAGAGGCGAAATGGTTATATCGAGCGATGCCGTCTCCCATGGCTACTACAAGTTGGAAGCGGCCACTGAGGAGGCCTACTATAAGGACTCTGATGGCAATACATGGTTCAAGACTGGCGATATTGCCGAAGTGTTTCCCAACGGAACGTTCAAAATTATTGACCGCAAAAAAGATCTGATCAAATTGGCACAGGGAGAGTATGTATCACTTGGAAAGGTATGTTATTTTTGTTGTTGGTTTTACCTACCGGTTCTCTCTCTCTCTCTCTCTATGGATAACTAACTCTATTTTTTACTAATCAGATTGAAGCCGAACTCAAGTGCAATCCATTTGTCGACAACATCTGCGTCTACGGGCATCTCTATCACTCATATCTGGTGGCACTGGTCGTACCCAATCAGTTGGCACTGACCAAACTAGCCCGTCGTCTCAAAGTGGACTACATATCGTACGGCGAGCTCTGTTCCGATAAGAAAATTGTCGCCTATCTGACCGCCCAAATCAAGAAACACTGCGCATCGGCCAAACTCAACAAATACGAAACACCAATGACTGTCAATCTGGTGCCCGAAGAGTGGACACCCGATACCGGTCTGGTGACGGCGGCCATGAAGCTCAAGCGCAAGAATATTGTGACCAAATATCAGAGATGTATCGACGCTATGTACCAGATATCCGATAATAATAATAGTTAGAAATTGTTTGTTTATGTGATTGTGTTGAAAGAGAGGGAGAGAGAGAGAGAGAGTATGTGTGATGAGATTAGGAGGGGAGGGGTTGTAAGGTATATACAGATACAGTACAATACGACATTATATATATATAGATTTATATGTATACCTGTATATATGATATATATATATATACTGTATCAGTGATTATAATAATAATAAATTATTATTATTGATATATATATATATATAGATAGATATTTGGTAATCATATGTATATATTAATTCATTCATTTTTACTCATGTTTTTATGAGATAAATAATATCTATTAAAAAAAAATATTTATATCGAAAACTAATAGAATTTTTTTGTTTGATTCGGTATTATATTTAAAAAAAAAAAATATTATAATTTTTATTATTAATTAGTATCGACTCATTATTTTTAATAACAACAATATATATAATGCAAACATTTATTTAATTTTTAAAAAATTAATTAATTAATAGACTAATTAAAGTTAATTTATTATTATTTTTTGATGATTTTTATTTTGCGGAAATTATTATTATTGTTTTCCTATTTCTAATATTCAGTAAATATTTATTTCAATTTTTCATTTTGACTAATTTGTTTGCATTGTATTTATTTGATTATTATATAATTTTTACTAAAATAAAACAACAATAAATATATTTATATGTTTGTCGGATAATCAAACAAACTATATATTATTTATAGTACTTAATAACAAAAATTATAATAACATTAACAGTAAATTAATAGTAAAATTAATTATTATTATTATTTAATTAAAAAACATTAATTCATTAAGTTATGTATCATTATATATATATTTAAATATTAGGAGTCATTTAATAGTTAATTAAATAATTGTTTTCTTTATTAATATTATTATTATTAATGATAATAATATTAAATTAAATTAAGTTTTTTAATGTTGTTTTATAAAGTGAGTGTTAATTAATACAATTAAAAAATAAAATGCTGATTACGGCAATTAATTAATTAAAACAAAAAAAACTTTGTAAAACACGTAAAATAATGAATTTATTTATATATATATGTATTTAAATAATTGAAAAATTATATATATTTTTTCAAACTATTATTATGTAATTAATAATTATATAATACAACTATTTTTTTTTTTGATTTTGATTTTTCATACAACCATTTGTAAAACATTTCCTGAAATTTTATTCATAAAACATAAACATATTATTATTATTATTAAACATTAAACAGTAAACTCATATATTTTCATAGATTGCTATTAATTATTATATTAATATTTTCAATTTTTTTTTGTGTATTTTTCAAAATTGTAAAATCCAAAAATAAAATAATAAAAATAAAAAGTGTAATCATTTATAATAAAAAAAATTAGTAGTAAATCACTTATTAATAATAATAATAATAATAATAAAAACTTGTGAAAAGTAAAGTACCGGTAATTGTCGACAACAAAAAATATATTAATAGTTTTTTTTAGCAAATAAGTTATAAATACAAACAAACAACAAAAATAGTTATTTATTTTATTATTATTATTATTATTTTACTGGTATTTACATATAACTAAAGTATTTTCATATATTGTATGTTAGTTTTAATTATTTTTATAATTATTATTTTTTTTAATTACAATTTATTTATTTTTTGTTATTCAAAAATAGTGGTAGGCAAATTACATTATTGCAAAATTATTTTTTTAAACAAATTTCAATTATTATTATTTGTCACTAATTTAAAAAAATAAAATAAAAATATTTTTCTATAATTAACTATTATGTGTGTAATTATTATATTGAATTTTTTTTATATAATTGTAATCAGTTAGTGACGCATATAAAAAACAATATATTATTAATTATTATTACTATTATTAATTGATTGTAATAATGTTTTTTTTAAATTTTTAGCAATTGACTAACACTTATTAATATTAAGATAAAAATTATACTTTTAATTAACAATGAAGTCATTATTATTTTCAAATTAATAGAAATAATTTCTAAGTTTTTTTTAAATATATTAATTAATTAATTTTTTATTGTTGAAATTAATTGTATTAATAACTAATTATAAAAAATATATAAGTTACTTAAATTTACTTTATTGTTTAATATGTAAAATTTAATTTAATTAATATATATAGTTATTAATTTTTAATTATTATATCGAAATAAATTTGATAAATTATTATTAATAATTATAGTAATTATGATCAATAAATAAATTTTAAATTAGATAAGTTATTATAATTACTATTATATTCCTATAATAAAAAAAACAATTATATAATATTTAAATAATTGCAAATTGTCAAATTAAAAATAATGTAATTTTATTTTATTTTTGTTTAAAATTAAGCTTACAAAAACAAATTATTAAACAATGTTATTTTTAAAAAAAAACTATTTGCATAATTGACATAGATTATTATTAAAAAATTTTTGTGTCCAGGCAATTGGCACAGTTTCCCATAGAAAACAAAATATATTTAACAAACTATTTAACAAAACCAAAAAAATATAGTATTATCACAAACTATTTAAAATAAAAACAGTACTAATAATTATAACGATAACAATAATAATTACATATTAAACACAATAAATATCACGTTTATTATTGGTATTTGATTATATGTTTGGGGTTTATTTTAAACTACAAAAAAAAGTTTGAATGCTTTAAAACTATAAATTGAAACCCAATTTTTGTTGTGTTGTTTGATACCCCACACACAACAAACTAATCTACATTACCGGGGGTAGGGGAGGGGTGACAATGAGAAACGGTAGGTTATATTTATGTTGTTGTCCACCAACAAAATAAAATACACCCAATCTTAAACACAATGTAGTATTTAGGGGACCTGTAATTTAGGGGCACAAATAGACACACTCATGATATACATTTCTACTTGATAATAAACGGTTATATCAGTATATATATGATTATACTATTTCAAGTGAACCCAGGTAGCCTCGAGCTCAGGTAGCCAGTAAGCTGGGGTTAAATTATAGGTAGTCAATAGGTATATATGTTGACCGCACCCTCTCATTTGGTGTATGTTTGTGTGTGCGATAGTTTGAACACAATTGTCAAGTGGTAGCTCATCATAATTGATTGGACCGGTATGTACTGTGTGTGTGTGTGTGTGTGTGTGTATGTGTGTGTGTGTGTTTATAGACATTTAAGCAAACACAATGATCCAGGGCAAGGGTTAACTATTCTAGATATAGGTTTAAAAAATAAAATTATTGTTATTATTCAGTGGCCACCATTAAAATTATGTATTTAAAATTTTTAATATATATATATATTTGCATACAAATTACACTATAGATTATTATTATTGTTATTATTATTATTTAATAAAATTATAGTTTGTTTGTTAAAACAAATATTACTAAATTATGTAATTTTTTTGGTACCCAATATTATGCATATATTGTAAGACTATTATTACTTTTATTATATACTATGCATACTATTGATGGATAATATTAATTGTTTTTTTCATATATAAAATTATTTTAGTTATTTGAAAAAAAATAACAAACAATATTGTGTTTACTTTATTTTTATTTTTAATTTTAACATTATCATTAATAATAACAATGCAATTAAATGATTAGTATTATTGATTGGTAAATGTTTTTTTACACTGCAATCAACAATAACAATGTTTTTTAAAAACTTAAAACAAATTCAATTTTATCTAATTTGCAATTAAAATTTTTATGATAAATAACATATTATAGTTTTATATAAATGTAAAAAAATTATCAATAATTAAGTTAATATTAGATTACTTTAAAAAAAAACAATTTCTAATTAAATATATTAATGACTCATATTTTTTAAAAAAACTAATATATGTTATTATCATATTATAATAATAATGAAATTATATATATATATATATACCGTTATATATTTATAAAAATAATAACACAATTAGTTTTTATTTACCGGTAATCATGTTTACTGTATATATTATTAATATTATTGCAATTTGCAATAGAATAATATTGATAAATTTTATATTAATTATATTTATGATATAATATTAGATATAATAATAATAAAATAATATTATTATAATATTTATAAACAACAATATAATTATTAAACAACTTGTATTTTATTATTAGCAATATTTACAATATATATATATATATATATAAAACATAAAAAAATAATTATAAAATTGCCAGACAAAATATTTAACAAATTAAATAATTTATGTTTGTCTGATAATAATAATAATAATATAAAAAATTACCATAAATATTAGCCAAAGTTTTTTAAACAGTTTATTAAAATAAATTATTTATTTAATTAATAAATTTAGTTAAACAACAAAAAATAAAATAAATTACTAGTCATTGTTGACAATATTAACTAAATTTATGTCTAATTCACTAAACTATAAAATTAAACATAAATATTATTTATTAAAATAAAAACAATAATAAAATACAGTAATAAAAAACCGATTGTTTTTTTAATATAATAATTCAATTGAAAATTTTCACTTTTAAAATATGTACACAAAAAAAAACAAATATCTATTTGAACTCAATTTTTTTTATTTTATTTTTTGTGTTTAGTATTTTGTTTTATTTAATATGCAATAAATTTTTTTAAAAAAATAAGTTTATTACCTATTTTTTCTTACACATACATACATACCCGTGCTGACCTTTCAGTTAACATTTTATTATTATTATTATTATTATTATTATTATTATCAATCAAACATTTTAAAAGGAAAGTTTTGTTTTATTATTATTATCATTATTATATAAACCAAATAATTTCACCAAAAAGTGGGCTAAACTTTTATATCTACTTTTATATGTATATATGAAAATTGATGTTTGATTTTTAAAAAATAAAATAAAGTTATCGATTAATATTAAAATACGATATAATATCTTATATAATATATTAAATATTGTGTGAATATATTTCTATGATAAGCGCCTCGTCTTTAATATATTTAAAAAAAATAAAGTGAAAAAACTTTCAAAAATCAATGACAAAATAAATGACTTTTTAAAAAAAGTTTAAAAGTTTAGGGGAAAGAAAATTGAAAGTGAAAATCATTTATTTTTTAAATTTAATTTTTAAAAATTAATAATTCATTTTATAATATTTTTTGTGTAAACGACTAAAGCCTAGCATTTATTTGTGAAAAGCAAAAGTTATGTTCAAATATTTGTGTTTCAAATAAAAAAAAAACAAACACAACAAACAACAAAATTAAAAAACAAATAATAATTTTTTTTCTCTAATTTATTTTAATTTTGAATTTTTACTATTAGTTGAGTTTTTAAAAAAATAATTATTATTATATTGAGTTGAGTGCCAATTCACATACATTTATATATATATATATATATACATAGAAAATAACAAACAATATTCAAACAAAATAATAATAATAATGTATGTCTAGTGGTGTTTATTATTATTATTTTATAGATAATAATAATTATTATAATATTAGTGGTATATTATCATCATTATTGATATTGTCTGTGTGTGTGTACTGTATATATAATAATAAGTATTATTAATAATAATATAAGATATTAGATATCTTACATTAAATTTGTTTAAAACTTTATTAAAACAACTATTATGTGAATCGTTATATAATAATTAGAAAAAATATGTATTATTATTATCATCATTATTAAAGAAATCTTATTGTTTTAATTTTAAAGTTTTTTTTGGGTATAAAAAATGTGATTTATTTACCAACAAAATAGATTAAAATTAAAAACATCAATTAAAATATCATATATTTATATATAATTTATATTCTGTATGAAAAATATTCAGCAAAAAAATTATTATTAATAATAATTTATAATTAATTAAAATTAATAATAAAATAATAATAACTACAAAAATTACAAAAAGTCAACAAAAAAAAACATGTCCATCAAAGAGTCGATAAAAAGGCACCGAAACGAAGTACAAGAGCTCCGACACTGTTTCCTAACGGAACGGTACGCCAAACAGCCGGAACTGTACGACGAGTGCGACATACAGAAGCTCCGGTCGACTGATTGGCCCGTCTGGCGATTTCTGAGGACCGAGCGATACAATGCCGAGACGGCACTGGAAAAACTTGATCGATGTCTCCGATGGCGCCGGGAGTCGGATATCAACTACAAACGCGGCGAAGATGTGCCCAAAGAGTTTTACGAAATCGGCGGTATGTTTACCTACAACGAGGACAGGGATGGCACCTGTGTTATCTATATGCGTATCAAAGTCAACCTGAAGATTGCACGGCTGAACAGGTATATCAAAGATTTTATGACATTCGTAATCGATAGGGTCGACCAGCGGACCAACGAATCGGGTTTTGTTGTACTCATCGATCTGACCGATGCCGGCCTCAGGAACGCCGATCTCGATCTTTGTTCGCATTTAATACATGTCCTAAGGTTTTACTTTCCTGAAGGTATGTATGTATGTATGTATGTATGTATGTATGTATGTATGTATGTATGTATGTATGTATGTATGTATGTATGTATGTATGTATGTATGTATGTATGTATGTATGTATGTATGTATGTATGTATGTATGTATGTATGTATGTATGTATGTATGTATGTATGTATGTATGTATGTATGTATGTATGTATGTATGTATGTATGTATGTATGTATGTATGTATGTATGTATGTATGTATGTATGTATGTATGTATGTATGTATGTATGTATGTATGTATGTATGTATGTATGTATGTATGTATGTATGTATGTATGTATGTATGTATGTATGTATGTATGTATGTATGTATGTATGTATGTATGTATGTATGTATGTATGTATGTATGTATGTATGTATGTATGTATGTATGTATGTATGTATGTATGTATGTATGTATGTATGTATGTATGTATGTATGTATGTATGTATATGTATGACATGTATGTCCCCATCAAATCATTAACACTGATTAGTATTATTATTATTATTATTATTATTATTATTATTATTATTATTATTATTATTATTATTATTATTATTATTATCATATCTCCTATCATATCATATATAAGTTATTTCTAACCCATACTCATACACACACACAACACACATAATATATAATAAAATAGTAAATAATGGGATTATAATAATTAAATTGATATAAAATAATTTTTACTAATTAGCAAATAACAATACTGTAATAATAATAAATGTATAATTTTAATAGTATTATTATTTTATTTTTAAAAAAAATTTATACAGTAAAAGATTAGTTTTTTTTTAAATAAATTTAATATAATTAAAACTGGTAAAATTAATTTATGATGAATATGATTGTTATGATTATTAGTATTATTTGAAAATATTTTTTTAACAAATTTCTAACCCAAATATAAACCATAATAATAATAATGATTCTAATTTTTATCGAAATTTTTTATTTTGAAAAAATAGTATTTTTTGAATAATTTATAATAAAACTCAAATATTTTATTATGTAATTTAATTATATCAATATTATAAGCATTTTATCAATTAAGAAATATATATATACATATATTAATTTCATTAATTTAAATATATAAAATAAAACTCTATAGTTAAATGTATAAATGTAAATTTCGTATAATTTTTTTTAGATAAAATAGATTTAAAAAAAAATTATTATTTAATTGTATTGTATTTACTGTATTACTATTATAAGTATTCTACAATTGAAACTGTCCGAAATTAAAACAAATTTTAAAGTTAATTTATTCGAAAACTACAAATGATAAAAAATCATAAAATTTACATCTGTTTCATTGATTATCGCCTAATATTTAGGTAAATAAACAATGTCATTTTAAAAAATTTTTCATATGTATTTTTTGCAAAAAAGTAAAAATGACATTTTTTACATCATGTTATAGTTTTAATTGTAATTTGTTTAAACAAATATTTAAAAATACAATTTAAAATTAATCTTAAAGTACACTAACAGGACTATATTTACAACTAACAATAACTTTATATTCAGACTCTTTTATTGTTTTTTAAATTCTTTAAATCACATACTTTTAAATAAAATAAGCATCATAGATTAATTCAATTGTTTTTTTATTAAAATTTAAATATTAAATATAAACTATTTATTATATATTAGTATATATGTCATTTGATATAATAATTATAAAATTGATAGATATTTTCAATCAAATAATAAAATATGTTGAAATTATCACACATAACGAAAATTTTTTAGTTTTAAGATAAAATTATCTACTTAAATATAAATTTGTTTTTTATAATTCTACTTATCATTAGTAGATACTTATATACATACTATTCATGAAAGAAAATTAAATATATCTCACTTAAAGAAAAAGTTAGACATAATTTTATAAGATATAGTACATGATTCAGCAAATTACAAAAAGTCATTATATTTATTTTTATATATTTGTCATTAAGAAGAAACAAGCTAGCTCTAACAGTGTGGCATTTAAAGTCAAGTATATTGTTAGACGGATAACATGATAACTTTAGATTTTTAACAATTATATGTAACAATATAATGCTAAACAATTTAGCTTTAGTTCTGACAATTATTTTATTATAAAATTTTAAATATTAATATTAAAATTTTGAAAACTTTTCTGAACAATCATCTAGGCTAATATTATTTAATGAAATATTATCACATTGGAATTTATTATTATAACATTTAAATAATCACTATAATTAAAAAATTTGTTTAGTCAAATTTGAATGTCTTTTACTAAAATGATAATAATTGGTAAAATATAGAAAAACTAAATTCAAATAATTGTAAAATGTAAATATAAATAATCGACCTTTTTTATTTAAAAAGAATCACATTTTTATCTTTATTAGTTGCATCATAATAATAACGTAAAAATTGATGTACTAAAACGGTCATTACTTGTTATATAATGCTTATATATAGATACTAAAATATTAATATAGCTAAAATCAATTAAAATAATATTTATACAGTTTTAGCAACAACAAAAAACAATGTTAAATAATAAAACATAAAGTAATTAATATATAAAAAACAAACATTGAATTTAAATATAAAATTTAATTTATTAAAAAAAATACAAACAAAACATTCAAATAAATTTATTAAATAATTACTATTTTATATACAGTATATACAGTACACACACATCAATCATTGATTAAATATGATAATATTGATTAACTGATTAATATTTATTTAACTATAAATTGAACTATACTTTCATTCACCCCCACCCAATCCAACCACCCAACCCAACCCCACTGCACGCCCACCCTATCCTATATCTAAAAAGCTCTAAAACACTGTATCGTATACAACCTTCCGTGGATATTGCGATCATTTTGGCCAGTAGTACGTATGTGGATACCTAACCGTCACCAACATTTGGTCCGATTTGCCAATAAGGATGAAATACAGGACTATATCGATTCGGAACAATTGCCGAAATATTTGGGCGGCCGATGTAAGCGCCGGTTTGCCGAACCGCCCGACGGTTGCCGATCGGTACGCGAAATATCTGATAACTGGGGTTTTACTGGCGATGAAATTGATGGCTATCTGCAGATATTTGAACCGCATATTAATGAAACACAACGTATTCAATGTTTGGATTAATAATATATATATATATATATATATATATATATATATATATGTATTAAAAAAATCTATATATTTTGTTGAAATAATTAATATTATTGATATAAATAATAATAATATAAATAATTATTGCTTAGTTTATTATATTATTTTTTTTGTTAAAATTAATTTTATTATTGATAATAATAATAATATAAATATATGTGTTTTGATTTAAAATTTAAAAAGTTTTTTTTAAAGAAAAATTATTATTTTTGTAATTAATATGTTTTATTTTGTTGTTTGAAATTTTTTATGAAATATATATATATATATATATAATATTTGATAAATGATAAATAATGATAATCGTAGCGTCAATCTTGTAATAAAAATAATAAATATATATATATTAAAAAAAATTATCTAATAATTTGCTATTTAAAAAAATACTAATGATGTTAATAATGATATAAATATTGTAAAATAAGACGTTTATAATATGTTTTATTTATGAACATATTTTATTGAATAAAAACTATTAAAAAAAATTATTTTCAAAAAAAGTAAATCAAAATTTTTATTAAATAATTAAAACTACTAATTGTCGAAATAAAATAAAACCAAAATAATTTAATAGCCAATTATGGTCAACAACATGGGTAATAAAATTTAATATTTCATGAAAATTATCAATAAATAAATAATTATAACTATTATTATTATAATAAAAAATTTAGTTAATATTTCAATAATATAAGTGTCACGAAAGTCAGGTTTGAGATAATTATTTTTTTAATATATAAATTATATATAAATGTATTAAATATATAGTTGAATATTAAATTAATAGAAAAATTGAAGTTTTTTAAATAAAATAAAATATTACCCTTTTTTAAATATAATTTATTTAAGTATATACTATATAAGTAATGTATATATAATCTAATATAACGCTTAGGTCAGCAATTTTTTGGTTAAAATATTTATTTAGTTTTTTTTGTTGATAATATAAAATTGTTTGCCAATCAATCAAATTATGTATTTTCTCGGGCATTAAAATTTTTTTTCAATACAAGTTTAAAAACTAATATAAAAATGCATTACATTTTTCAAATAAATAATAATAAATTATAAAATAATCCAACTATACTACTACTACTTATATCAATATATATTTATTATTTATTTTATTTGAATAATATTTAATTTAATTATTAACAAATAATAAAATTTATTTAAAAAAAGTATTTTTATTTAAAAAAATTGTTTAAGTAAATAGTAAACAAATTATTATTATTTATTTATAAAATAATTATTTTTGTATCTTATATGATAATATAAACAAAAAAAAATTACATTTAAAATATTTTACTTTTATATAATATACAGTAGTAGTTAAACTTATTTTTAATTACAAACATATATATATATATATATATATATATATATATATATAATAGAAATATTAAAAAAAAAACATTTTCTATAATTTACAACAAAATATAGATATTTAAACAAAAAATAATGTTTTTATATTATATATATTACAAGTAAATAATATATATATACATATCTAAATGATTAATGAGACAAACAAACTATCATCTATTATACGGCATTTTTTTGTTGGTGTTGTTGTTGTTGTTGAAGATATCCTATAACCCAGAGAGTAGTGGCAATTATATTATATACTAAACAACTACAGAATGAGAGATCCCTGAGCCCTATGTGTAAGAGAGAGAGAGAGAGAGAGAGAGAGAGAGAGAGAGAGAGAGAGCCCTAAGCTCTTAATTACATTAGGCTTTCCTCAAATTGAAACATTGGTATTTTTGCTAACTATCCAACAACAACAACAACAAAATAAACTACCTGTACTATTACCGCTACTACTGGTGCACAAACAATTTAGCCTCAATATACATATATAAACTGTATATATATATATATACTGTATACGGTATATATGTATATTAATTTGATGTAAAAATCTAATTATATTTGTATTTAGCATCATCGATGTGAAGCACATGTAGTTTTATATACCGTATATACTGTATATATACTGTTTTTATATTATTCAATACATACTTGAGCTACAAATCCGTGATATTCCGGTTCACTAAATCAATGATTACCTCAGCAATCAAAATGAACCTACCGTTCAATGAATATTGACATCAACTTAATAGTAGTGTAATATTTGTAAAATAGTAGTAATAATAATAATAATACTGTAATAATATAACATCTCATTAATAGTTTTTTAAAAAAATATATTAAATCCTAAAGTTTATTATTATTATTATTATAAATAGTTAGCACTTTTATAATACAGTCTATAAAAAAATATAGTTTAATGGTTAAGGATTTTACAGTATTTCGATAGGTTTGACAATGATTTGTTAATACCTTAATAATAATAATAATAAAATATAATAATATTAACTTAATAATAATAATGGTATTTCAGTAAATATATATATATAAATAGTATTTAATTATGATGATAGTAATATATAAAAATAATAAATTAAGCTTTAATTTTAAAAAAATAAATAAATAAATACTTAAAAATACAAATAACTAAAAATGTTGTTAAAAAAATTTTTTCAGTTAATAATAATATAACAAATACTAAATATATTAATAAATATAATATTAATTTATTAACTAAAGCATTAAAAAAATACTAAAAATATTTCATTTTAAAAAAACAATCATAAATAATAAATTATAGTATATATATAATACAATAAAAATAAATAGTTAATATATAAATTATTTTTTTTCATGAAATATATATATATATTAATATTTTAATTTCATAAAATTATATAAAATTAAATAAATAATGTTATACATTGTAAATAAATAAATTTAAAAAAAAATTAGTAAATTACTATATAATTACTACAATATATATATATAATATTATATATTAATCATTAATAATTATTAGTAATTATAAAATAAATAAATTAATCAATAATAATAACAACTCATAGCAATTGATTTTTTTTCTCAATAAATCCATATATTTTTTTTGTTGTGATCTAATCTAATCCATTTAAATCCATTTAAATCTCTTTTAAATCTCTTTTAACTAAATCTAAACAATTTATTAAAAGTATTGCCAATCGATACAAAACCACTGGCCGTCATATCTTTTGCGTAATCGCTAACCGTTTCGCCAAATTTGTCGATACTTTTACGTACTTTCAGACCGATTAGTTCGCCGAAAACTTTGGCGGCCATACCGGCGGCTCCGTGACGTCGGAGGTGTTGATTGCCAAAGAAGCCGTCGTCGTCCTCATCGTTGTTGTTGTTGTTGTGTTCAGACTCATAGGAATCGCCTAATCGATTGATTGGACAGTTTGATGATTAGAGAGAGCACAGGTATCCCCGAGAAAAAATAAAAATAATATATTTTTTTGATAAATAAAAATAATATATATTTTTTGATAAATAAAAGTAATATATATTTTTGATAAATAAAAATAATATATATTTTTTGATAAATAAAAATAATATATTTTTTGATAAATAAAAATAATATATTTTTTGATAAATAAATATAATATATATTTTTTGATAAATATTTTTTTCAAAAAATCTAAAACTAAAACTCATACCTAAAATCTTTTTCAAAAAATACTTTTTCATATCGTATTTTTTCAGATATTTTTTGATAACACCCGACGATGACGACATCTCCCCATCGTCGACACCGGTAGGCAATAATGGTAGTCCACTATGTGGTCCGTATAGATACTGAGGTACACGACCGCCGTGCGAGTGCTGCTGTTGGTGTATGGCCTCCGATAGCCTTAAATTGTCGATTAGATTCTGATATGAATTACCGGCCGATTTATGAGGAGTAGGTATGGCCTGTCGTTGTTGTTGTTGTTGATGTTTGTTAGGTGGGGTTAACTGTGCGTAACCATACAGTTCCGCTTCTAACGGTGCCGACGATCGGTCAATCAATTGTTTATTATTATTATTATTTAAATTATTATTATTATTAGTATAATCCAAAATTTGGTATTCATTAATATTTTTATTTAGTAATAATTTATTATTATTATTATTTGTAATTTTATTGGCATATATGGCCGAAAAATTATTTGCCGATAATATTACTAAAATAGTAGCCGATAGCCAACCAATGAGGACAGTGAGGTTATTGACTAAAAAATAAAATAAATAAAAATAAATTATATGCTTAAATAATGTTTAAATAATGTATATATATTAAATATATCACCCACGTTATGGACATTAAATTTAAATATTATTTATTTTTTATAATAATAAAATAATAAAAACAACTTAAATATTTTAAATATACTTAAATATATTTAAACAATTATAATGTAGTAATTATACAGAAATTTTTATTTATTTATGATTTTAATTATTAATATTATTTATATATAATATATATATATTTAGATTTTTATATGCATATTATATAAAATAAACAATTAATTTTTATAGTTATTATTAAAAATACACGTTTAAAATATTAGTTTAATTGTTATAAATAATTCATAATATTTATTTATTTAGATACAGTTTATAATAAACTATTTTGGATTTTAAATTTAGTTAAATTTTAGGAATTTATGGGAAAATTATTTATCCATGTTTTATGAACTAAACAATTAATTAAAATTATTTTTCTAATTATAAATAAAATAAATAATATATACTCACAATTGTGTTGCATAGTGATGATGATAATGATGGTAATAATAATAATAATAATAATATAACGATAATTAAATAATTACGAAAAAACAACAACAATAAACAAAATATAAATAAATTTCCACTTATTTTTAAATGTAGGCTATATTTATTTGGATGATAATTGTTGACTAAAAATAAATGAGTTAACAAATAATTATCAATAATAATAATTATTATTATTATTATTGGGTGATATATATATATATATAAATATTTAATAGTTATAAATAAAAATTATTGTTAAGTTAAATTGTGTCTTATACAAAATAAAAACTATTTTAAAAATTTAATGTAATTTTATTATTATTATTATTATAAAACATTTCTAATAATATTAAATAATTTTCAAAATGCTTAATTTTAGATTAAACATTATTTTAAAAAGTTTATTTTTAGTGACTAACAAAATAGTTAGTTAATAAAATGAGAGACACTTTTTTATGAAAACATATAGAGAGAGAGGGACTGGTAGTTTAGTTAGTTACCTCTCCTCAGTGCTATTTAAAATATATTGAGTAACTATACTGTAATCTATTAGGGGGGTGGGGGTAGCAAACCAGCACTGAGAGAGAGAGAGGCATTCAGCTCAGGGATAGATGGATAGACAGCATAACCACTGATACAAATATATATATATATATATATATATTATACATTTATTTATGATATATTAATATATATCATATATATATATATTGAATATACATATATGTATATACAGTATACTGTAGTATATAAATAATAATCAAAATAATCTCTAACAGCTATTAACGGCATTCAAAAATAACACAAAACTGCTTTTACAGTATTATTATTAGGATATTTTACACACCTGAGAGTCCCCTTACAAAAAATGTGTGCAAAAATATATGATATTTTATATATATATATATAATAAATATAATATATTTTTTTGAGGAGAAAAAATGTAAGATAAGACTAATTTTTTATATATATATATATATATGATATTAGTTCCAGTTTTATGCTAATACTGTATATATTGTATAATAAGGTACTACCACTTGATGTGTTGGTATTGAAACACACAGTTAGTTAATGATTGATATATATATATATATATATCGCTCAGTTAGTTAGTTAAGTCAGTCGGTTAGTCAATCAATCCCCCCCCCTATATCCTATTGCATTGCAAAAATTACTTACCAGTAACTAAATAAATAATAATAATACTAAAAAAAACTCAATCATTTACCGCATGGATTGGGGAGGCCATCAAAAAAACGCACACACATTCATTTGGCTTATACCTGAATGTTATGCTATGCCATTAAAATAATATATTAGCACAGGTACTCTATATATAGCTAACTGTGCCCAAACATTATACTGTATCTGTATGTGTATTATTGAGGCATAAAAACTGGACTTCATTATTGATAGTTAGCATAGCTATACAACAGGTATATACATATAAAAAAACGGTATGTTATGCTACAGGTATGTGTGTTAGTAATAATATATATATATATATATATATATAAATATTTTTATTGAGAGGCATATCATTTTCGTCATCATTATTACAGTATTATCATCATCATAGCCGACCATCTCCAGCATCAGCACCGTTAGGTTAGGCTAAATATACTGATATATACAGTATGTTATGACACAACTTCCTACTAACTATTTCCATGAAAAATCATTTGTAAATATTATTATTATTTAATGACTTTGCTGTTATGTTAAATATATATATATATATATTATAATGTGGTTTCACATACTAGCCTATGAGCCCAACCCCTTTACATCCCTGTCCTGGCACGTGGTTTTTTAAAAAAATTAATAAACTACTGTATATATGATACCATTAATTATCAAAAATAATGGGCTCCCATAATATAACCATTGAAGTCTAATTAACCAATTAATTACTTTTCAAAAAAATATTTTAATATTATATATATATATACAGTAATGATTTAAAAACCATATTTTATAGCTATAATTAGTTAGTTTGTTATTTATGAAAAAAAAATTATTATTAGAAATAATCTAATTAATAATTTAAAAAAAATATTTATTAGTTATTATAATTTTATGAAAATTATTTTTTTAGAGAGAGAGAGAGAGAGAGAGAGAGAGAGAGAGAGAGGTGCCTCTATATATGTTGGTTCAAAATAACCTAAATAAAAAAAATGTTATGTCATTGACCTTGCCATTCAACTATATTAACTATATATACTGTATAAATATTAACTACCAGTCCTCCTATGATTGTGGGCTAATGGATACTACCTGTGCTGCTGCTGATGCTGTCATTAATACAATACATCACATATTGCTGTGTGAAAAAAAAGTTATCCCCATATATAGCCATACAATACAGTGTGTATGCAATCATACAGTATATGACATGACATAACAACCCAATGTTATGCAATGTATGCAAAAAAAATATTTTTTTTTTAAATAAAAGATAAAGTTGGGGATAATAATGTTTGTTTGAATAAACAAATAATTATTTACAATCAAAAAATAATTGTTAGAAATTTGTTTTTAAAAAAATAACATATACATATATATACTCTAAATAAAATAGATAAATTTTTTTTATTATAGATAAATACAATATATTTTGGATTATTAGCTGTAATTAATGTTTTTTTTTATTGTAAAACTTTTTAAAAAACATTATATAATAAACTTTTGATACTTAAAAAATTTGTTTGTTTGTTAATCCCAACTCTAATCACTGTACTTTAAATTTTTTTAGGTCTCAATTTTATAGATAGATAGGTAGGTATGTGCTCCTCTCCAATGTGGTGAGCTTAGGTAGTTATATATATATATATATGTACACACAGTTCATACCGGTGCCCAAAATTTAAAAAAAAATGATTTGACCCTCTATTATAAACCACTGCTACAAACACATACACACATACACACATACACATACCAAATATCTACATATATTTCATGTATTTTATGAGTAAATTATTACTTAAATACTAAATTTAAGTGTACAAAAATTATTATAATATTAAATAAAATTTATTTAAAAAAATATGTTTTCAAATCTCTTACTGATTTAATTTATAATAAATTTGATTTTATTTGTTTGCCAAATAAAATGTATTTTATTAATACATTTAAAAAATATTTGAAATATTTTATTTATTTATTTAGTTGTTGGATGAATACAATAGAGTTTTAATACTTTTAATAATAACAAATCGTAAAATTTATGTATRKATWTATATATATAAATTTATTTTATATGTATATATAATTTATATAAAACTAATTTTCACTACAAACTTAAGAAATTATAATTTTTAAAAAAATTTTATTTAGATATACAGTAAATAAAATTATATTTATATTTATAATGTTTTTTTATAACATTTATTATTATTATTTTTCTAGAAAATAATTTATTTGTTACAACCAATTTGTTTTTTGAATTATTTATTTATTTATTTGAATTAACTTAACTATACTAAAGTAATATAATACATACGAGTAGTTCAAAAAAATATTAAAAAAAAAAATTTTACGATACAAAGTGTAGATAATATTTAATAGTTTTGTAAAATTTTTTAGTTTATTTTTTTGAATTTAGATTATTATTATTATTATTATTATTATTAACAGTTTGATAACATATTTATACAAATAGTCAATGGTTTAGTTCACGTGTCATACAATTATATAATTATTTTTTTTTGTATATAAAAAATACCTTAAATTTAAAATCTGAACTTAAAATCAGTGATTAAAAAAACAGATGCTATAAAACAAGTTATAACCTAATGAGTTGTCAATCAATTTATTTATTTTTTAATATAAATTTTTAAATTAAGTTAATTTTTAATATAACAGTGTTATACTAATTTAAAAAAAAAATGTTTGCCAGCTCAAATTTTTCAACTACAAAAAAACTATAAAATATTTTTTAAAAAATAACTTTTAAGTTTAAATAATTATTAAATAATTACAATTATTAAAGTTATTTATTTAATTTTTATTTTATATTTAACTCATAATAATAATTAAACAAAATTATTAATAAAATTAAAATAATAAATCAATATTATATATATATATAATGTGTTTATTATTAGTATTATTAATAATAATAGGGTTTTAAAATCAAAGTAAATATTATTTAGACATTTATTTCTATATAATAAGTATACCAAATATATTTTATAAAGTTTAAGTTAAATTGTTAATGAAATTTATTAATAATAAAAAACTTGATAAATGTTTTTAACATACAATACAATAGAGTGTATTAATGATATTTAAGATAAATAGATTTTGTATCATAAATGCTAAATATAGTAATATTATTATTGAGTGGAAAAAATATTCAAGTATTCAAATATACATTATTATACTGTATTGTATTGAATATATATATATATACTAATAATAATACATTTTAAAAAAAATGAGATATTGATTAGGATAATAAAAATTTATGTACAGTATATTTAAATATATATACAATTTTAAACAACAAAATTATTATAACTATGGTATAGATAGTATTGATAATAAATTCATATATATATATATATATATATATATATATCTTTATGTATTGTTTAGTATATTTTTATTATTTTTAAATTTCTATGTCAAATACATATGTATTGGCAAATATTGTATATAATATTATCAATAAAAAAAATAAGTGAAGAAAAAATTATGCCATAAAAAAGGCTTAAAAATGTTTAAGTTATTATATTTTTGTAAATAATAATTATTTTTGTCTTCCAATATATATATATATATTTGTATTGAAAAATCTATTAAACATCAATACAAAACAAAATTATAAACATATTATAATTTATAATTAAAACAATTGAAATATTGTATTTAAAAAAAACTATCAAAATTTTTATTTTACTATTCATATTAATTGAAAAAGTATATAACAATTTATATATATATATTTAATATACACTTTAATATAATTTATTTAAATTGGAAATATTTAAAAATAACATTTTTTTAAAAATTTAAATATATATAAATATTTTTTTATTTTGGTTGATTTAAATGAGTTCTAAATAAGTCACTTTAATAAAAATAAAAAAACTAAATAAAAACTTTAATAATAAAAATATTTTAGTAATTTATGTTAACATATGAGAGACAGTAAACTCATTTTATTTTGAAGTGTATATAAAATAAAAGATAATTACAATTGAAGTAAAAAAAATATATTTTTTATTTAAATATCAAAAATAAAAGATTAATTTATGATTATTAATAGATTTAATTTTTTTTTGGGAAACAATTGGATTACTCATATCAAAGTTTTATTATTATTTTTTTCAGTGAAAACTATTATAATAAATAAATAATAAAAATAATTAAATGTATTAATAATATCCAAGCAGATCATCAAAAAAATTTTTTTTTTGTTAATATATTTAAAAAAAATATATAAACTTTATATACTGTATATATAATTATCAAATTAGTTTTGGCGCATATTTTTTATGAGATAACAGACATATATTTAAATTATATAATAATAATAATAATGTTAAAAAAATATATGCGGGATATCCTATTTGATGGCACAATAATAGTATTGATGATTATAAAAAATTAGCATAAAGTTTGCTAAATATATATATTATAATATATTTGCAACAAAAATAATATTTTTTATACAGTAATAATAATGAGACATTTGAATAGTTTCAAAGATAATTGTTTGACAACAAATATTTTAACACATATTTTGGTTACTATTGATGTGTTAAACATCAACTAAAAATGTCAGTATTAAATAAATAAATATAAATAAATTATATATTAGTTTTTTTAAAACACTTTTTCAAATAAAACAATGACATAAAAAATAGGGTATTAATGAGTTTTGAACCAAAACAAAAAAATGTTTATTTATTTTTTTTCATACACAAAGTCAATGTTAGCAAAATAATATACAATTTTAAAAAAAAAATAAAAAAAAACCACTAATGATTTAAATTTTAAATTTAGTTAATTAGTAATACAGTTAACTATATATATATATTTTTCATATATTGTGTGTCAATAATAATAATACTGTAATAATTATATTTACAATTAACAATATTACAGTTAATAATAATAATAAATAATTTATGTTATTTTTTTTATGAATGATATATAAATAGTTAATTGGATTATAATTAATTGTTTTTTTTGAACCTTATTAGCTTAATAATTATAATAATAAGTTGTTATTATATTGGTTATTATAATTTAACAACAATAACAAACAAATAAAAAAAATCTCATAAATCTCTTATTTTATTATATTTTTATTTTATTTTTTTTAATACAAACAATAAACATCATTTCATATATAATTAGATCTTATTTTCTTAAAAAAAATAAATAAATAAATATTTTTTGTTGTTGTATTTGATTTATTTAGTAAATAATAAATTATAAATACACGCAAATATTATTTAAATTTTTATAGCTTTGAACTAAAAAAAAATTTAAAAAAATTAAATATATGATAGTTATATATAAATAATACAGTATTATACATGTAATTCCTATTGTATTATTATTATTATTATTTAAAAAAATATTTATATGCATTTCATAGCAATTTGTATTGTTATTATATGTGTGTGTATTTCACTAACTCATGGCTTAAATACTTTAAAATTATTTTAGCATATATTTTAAAAATCTTCAACAAAAAAAACTTGTTATTTATTTATTTTTTTAGTGACAATATCTATGAGTTTTCTATAATAAGTATATGTACTGTACTTACAAATATATCTATATATATATAATATTAAATATATAAATTATAATTTATTAATATATATATATATATATAATGGTGTGACTAATGTTGATGAGTCTATAACTAACAATATATAATAATACAGTTAATAATAATAATAATACTAATAAACATAATCTAGTTTATGAAAATATAATATATTTTAATAATACAGTTAACTATTATTTAACTTACACATGCAAATAATACATAAAATAAATTATTTTAGAAAATATTAAAACAAATATAATTTTTAAATAATACATTTAGCCGTAAATAATAGCACTTAAAAAAAACAAAACAGTAAAAAATTATTATTAATTATTATAAATTATTCTGTATTCAAATATATAACCATAAAATTATATTATAGTTTTAGCAAGTATTCAAAAAATACTATTATAATATACGGTTAATAAAAATTTATATATAATTTTTAAAAAAACACACGCAATAAATATTTAATAATATTTATTAACTATAATATAATTTTTTAAAAAAAAAAATAAATCTATTTTGACAAATATATAAATAATAGATAATAGTTATATATACTTTTAAAACTACTAGAAAAAAATAATAGTTTTATGATAATAATAATTAATAATTTTATTTTATTGTTTAGGAAATACAAAAAAACAAATAAAAACAATTTTTTATTGTATATAAAAAATAAAACTTTTTATTATAAAGAATATTAATTTTTTCGTTATAAACCAAATAAAAATATACAGTTATATAAATTTTTCGACTATTATTTAATAATATTTTTAAGATAATATTTATATATTGAATATATATATAATAAATGAATATTTAATAATTGATTTATTCAATTAAAACTTTTTTTTTTATTTATAAAAAACAATTAAATATCTGATGAGAAACGGTATCCATAGATGTGTCAGTGCTATACATAACGATATGCACCGGTAGACGAATAGCCTGAACGGATGAATTTGTCTATAGCTGTCACTGAGTGGATGGCCGTCACCGGTACGCCGGCACCGGGCGGCCAGCATATAACGGGACACACGTTTACGATCGTAGGCCCAACCGATTCGGGCAAAACTGTCGATAAAAAGTGTAGTAAAATTCCAGCTATACTTCCAGCTTAGCTCCGATGCTGAATAATCCCTGTCCATCACAACAACAACAATAAAAATTATTAGTAATTATCATCAAAAAAAAAATTGATTAAAAAATAAATAAATAATTAATTATTATTGAATTGCATTTTTTCCATATAAACATTTAGGACATTATTATTATTATTATTAAAAAAATGCTAAAAATACTATATATGTATATTAATATACAATGTATATACTATAGCAACATATATATATTGCTAAAATAATATTTATTATATATATATTTAATATGTATTTATATGTATGTATGTTAGTAAGTGTCTGTTTGTTTGTTTGTTTGTTTGTTTTTAATGTATTGTCAAAAAAAACGGGTCATACCAGGGAAACGTATGGTGATAATTGTGATATCCCTCTCCATATGATTGAAATGTTACAAAACTATTTTCTCTATCAAAATAAAAAAAAATCAAAATATTAATACATAAACATTAATAAAAATCAAAAAATTTAATCAACAAAAACAAATTATAATCAAAAAATATAAATATAATATACAGTATATATATATAGTACAGTAAATAACTTTGTTGTATATATGTTGTACTGTACTTACAAAATAATAATAATAATAATAAGTAAAGTAATGAAAAATAAAAAGAAATATTATTTATACAATAAAATAAAATGTTTTATAAGTATATAATTGAAATCCAATATAATTTTTTTCAGAAAAAAATAAAGAAATGATAAATTAAAATGTCTTTTATATGATATTATTATTTATTTTTTTGCAATATTGCTATTATTATTATGATATAATACACTGTATATATATACCTGTAATAATATGTAGGCTATTGTGTTGCCTTATATTATAGCACTTATAGGTACAGTATATATATATATACTGTATATAATATATTATACAATACTTTTCATATATGTTTAATATTATTAATACTATTTTTTTATTATTATTACAAACCTTGGATTTATTGTTATATCGTATGGTTTTTGACCCCACATATGGGCTGCACTGTTGACCAGCCATGTGCTAAATCAAGGGTTAAAAAACACAATACATATATATAAGATATTTTTCAACAACAATAAAAAATAAATTAATAAATTTTATTTTTTTTAATTTTAAATGTCATCATATCATTAAAAATAGATTATTATTATACTATAGATGTGTTTAAGATTGTATTTAATAATAATAAAAAATAGTAAAATATTGTGTTATTATTTAAATTTAGAGAAAAAATAATTAAATAAATAATTAAACATAAAATAATTGTGTTTAGTTTATTTTATTGCATGCATTTAATTTATTTTTTAAAAAAAGATTTATTTCTATAAAAAATAAATAAATAATTTAATATCACATTTGTTTTACTGAATATTTTTTCAGCAAATAAAACAAAAAAAACAAATAAAAACTTATTTCACTTTTTATTTCCATATTGTATAAACATATATATGAAAAAAAATATTTTATATCTGATATAAATTTTATATTATTTGATGAAAATATTTTGTTATCATAATAATAAATCATTATCACGTCATAGTAGTCATAATAATAATAATAATAATACTATTAATAGTTAAATATCTGTTTTAGATAACTGTCCCTAAAATTAGCTGTTAATGTCATTTAATAACAAAAACGACAACAAAAAGATAACGTCAGATAATAAAACAAATAATATTATAAATTATTTTGTAAATTAAAATAATATAAATTATTTTTTTTTAATAAAAAATGTATTTTGAAAAATATATATAAAAAAATAATTAAATAAATATCTCAAACCTGTTAAGTATATAACAGTATCGGAATATAACGCATACGAAAAAAGCGTTGGCAATGGTTTCCCTCCAGAATAGGACGGGTAGGACAGTCGGTATGATGACGGCTATCCACAGGACAAGCCAGCGATAGTTTCGTCGTTGAAAACGTACGATCGGATCGGCTAACAGATCGTTGAGGTCGACCGACTGGCCACGGCTTAGTACGTCGGGATGTTTGCGACACAATAGCCAACCCATGTGGGCGAAAAAGAACCCCCGATTGGCATTATGGGGGTCGGCATCCGTTTCCGAGAACCGATGATGAACCCGATGGTCGCGGCACCAGTCGTACAGGTCGTTCTGGACGGCCATTGTGTTCAGGAAAGCCAATAGTAGTCGTAAAGGAAAGTTAGCTTTATATGATCGATGAGCCCATAGTCGGTGGGCGCCCGCCGTTATACCCATACCTATGTGTGTGTGTGTGTGTGTGTTATGAAATAATTTCAATAAAAAAGCAAAAAATAAAATTTTTATTTTATACAAATAATTGTCATTAAATTTTTGATAAATATAGAGATTAAATAAAATAAAAATCTATTAAATATGATATAATTTATTAAAAAAAACTAATGTTTTTCTTAGGAAATTTTTTTTTTGATAAAAAAATAATTTAATAATAATATAGTATCCAAATATTACCAGGGGTATATTTCTATTGCCCATATTATTATTATTACTATTACTATAGTATATTATTATATAAATAAAATATTAGTATATTTCACTGAATGATTACCCAGTGATCCTTAATTTTTTAAAATTTTATTTTATAGACAAAATAAAACCCAAAAAAAATAAATTACATAATAATACTGTAATAATAAAAATCTAGTAATATATGATAATTTTTGTCAATTTTTTTTTGTACACAAAAAAACATATGTATATATATAGACATACCTGAAATTAGGCAAAACCAATACCAGGCAATCACTGTCTGATATTTAGCCGACACGATCATTAGGTAGGCGCCATATAGAGCACCGATATGTATGGAAGTCAATAGTATAACATTTTTCCAGACAATATTTGTCGCATATTTTTGAACACGATTTTCATAATTTCTATTATGATTATTATTATTATTTAAATTATTTAAATTATGATTATCATTATTAGTAGTAGTAGTAGTTGTAATAGTAGTTGTATTATTATTATTAGATAATGGGACAGTTGACTTTTCACTAGAATAATTGACTTGATGATCGTTTATTAATGGTGGCATATTTTTTTAAAAATAAAAAATTTTAGTTATTTAAAAAAATAATTTTAGACAAAAAAAACAAATTTTAGACCACTTATTTAAACAAAAACAATTTAATTTATCTATTGCTTTAATATTATTATTCAATATTAATTAATTAATTACAATTTAATAACATTTTTGTTGTTATTATTATTATTATTTTTAATGTCTATTTAAAAAAAATGTAAAATATTAACAATAATATTACTATTTAATTATTATAACGACAAAAAAATATGATATATTTTTTTATTATTCAATATTTAAAATATAGTTAGTATCTGTTTTTTGTTTTTTTTGTGAATCTCTTAAAAAACTTTTAATTTTATATACAATTGAATAAAAAACAATAACAATTTAGTTTATATATATATAATAATATTTTAAGAGAGAGAGAGAGAGAGAGAAAGAAAGAGAGAATCTCGACTCTATTATTATAATCACATTTATATATATAAATATATTATAATAACAATTTATTATATAACAAAATACCAGTAACTGTAGAGTATATATGTTTTTTATTTTATTTTTTTTTGAGTGTTAGAAAACATTGTTGGGATGAAAGGGCCCGTTATGTCCAGCCTATTGGTTGTGTTTCCTAAAAAACAGACATCCCTCACACTAATAAAATATAAATAAAATTTTATAAACATATGCAATATTACCTGAATTTTATTTTAGATATATATATATATATACGGTATAATACTGTATGTATATAATGCCTCATTTTTATTGCCCACAACAATTTCTATGTGTATGTGTATGTGTATGTGTATGTGTATGTGTATGTGTATGTGTATGTGTATGTGTATGTGTATGTGTATGTGTATGTGTATGTGTATGTGTATGTGTATGTGTATGTGTATGTGTATGTGTATGTGTATGTGTATGTGTATGTGTATGTGTATGTGTATGTGTATGTGTATGTGTATGTGTATGTGTATGTGTATGTGTATGTGTAATACACACATTGTGTATGTATCTGTGTGTGTGTATGTATGTATGTATGTAGTATCGCATGGATATGGCCTACAGGTATGGTTGTGTTGTTATGTTTGTAGGTTTTATGTTTGTTAAAATTATTATTATTATTACTTTTTATTTTGAGTGATAAGTTAAGTGAAGTGATGGGCCATCAAGTTATGAGTCGTTATTTTTTTAAAATTTCTCATTTCATGAATATTTAGATTTGTTTTATCACTTATTGTTGTTGTTGTTGGTTATAGTAGTTTATGTGTTGAAAGAGAGAGAGAGAGAGAGAGATATTAGATATGCTAAACAACAACAACACGTTAGTCATAAAATTGAAGTGATTTAAAAAAATATTAAAAAATAATACATTTTTTTAATTCAATGCATAGCTATAAATAATTGTTGGACTTATATCTATCAAAAAAAATTAAAATAAAATAAAATTGATTTTTAATTTTATTATTCTGACTTATATTGTATTATAATATGTTATTGTATAATAAGATTATAATATTTTGTGTGTGTGTTTGAAAATAGTTTATACTATATATATATATATATATAATACAAACTATATGTTAATTGACTTTTAAAATACTGTAAAAAAAGATTAAAAATGTTTAGTTAGTTTATATGATATAATATGATATTTATATAAAAATGTGGGACACTTTTGCCTTTCAAATTAAATGCATTGCACACATACAGTGAAATATATATATATATACTGTATATATATATATATATACTGTATATAAATACCAATTATTATTGTAACATCAATTATAATCGCATTAATCCTTTAAAATCATAGATATATTATTATAATATTTTTATATTTCATGTCATCTAATACTAAACAGTCTATTAATGTAAATTTGGTCATAATTTTCATTAATTAGTTTATTTTTGTAATTTTATTGTTTTAAAAAAATTTTTTAATTCAATGCAAAACATTGTAATTATTTATTTTACTTATAATGATTTTTTAATTTTTAAAAAAATTAAATATTTTTATTATTATTATCATTAGACCGCTTATTAATATTATTAACATTAACTAAATTACAATTATTTAGCATTTAGAAATTATTATTATTTTTAATAAATATTTTATTAAAATTTTATATATATATAAAAATAAAGATAATTATTAATGTGTACTATATTTTCGCACAATTTTCATAGTAATAATAATTATTTAAATTTTTTTTATAAGTTGCACACTATTTCGCAATTATATTTCCCATTATATATTCAAGTAATGTATGTATATATAGGTATGTATATCCCATATAAGCTATTTTTTACCATCAATTTGATGATGAATGCAATTTTTTTTATTATTAAATGATAATGATGATGACACGAAAATGGCACACAAAAATAATAATATTATTAATAATTATAATTATAATAGTTAGTATTTTTTTTAAGCAAAAAAATTATTGAAACCTAGATTTTTTTATAAATATATATATATATATATTTAAAAATAATATATATTGTATTTATTAATTTATACTGACCAAATTTCAACTAGTCTACGTGATAGGCAACACATACACACAAATATATATATATATACATGCACATGTATATAAATACACAAATATATACACATATATACAGTGTGTATATGTGTGTATGTGTTGCCCATCACGTAGATTAGTTGAAATACACACACACACACACACACACACACACACACACACACACACACACACACACACACACACACACACACACATACATACATACATACATACATATATTCACAAATACACACACACACACACACACACACATACATATATTCACAAATACACATACACATACACATACACATACACATACACATACACATACACATACACATACACATACACATACACATACACATAAATACATACATACTATACATACATACATTCACAAATACACACACATGCATAAACTCATTGATAAAATGTTAATCATAAACTAACACTTTATAATAAACTATGAAATATATTAATATTATATTTAATACCAAATAATAATAAATTTATTATTGATTATTTAAAAAATAAAAATAAATTCATATTATCATTCATCTTATTATTTATACATGCACATATTATAAAAAATTAATACAAATGTGTGTATTATATAAAATTTATGTCTTATTGTTTTAATAATAATACTAAATATTTTAGTTTATTATTATTAGCTATTATTTTATATAAAAATACAGTATTAATACTAATAATGATTTTTAAAAAAAATTTAGACATTTTTTTCGTGAATCTGATAATTTTGTTAATCGATTACATTTAAACACTGTTTTTAAAAAACAATTATAAATAAAATATTTACAATATATTTCATTTTTAAGTCACGATTAATCACTATTATGCATATAATTATTTATATATATAAAAAAATATTATATTAAATATATATATATATATATAATGTAAATTAAGTAATTATATATTTATAATTTAAGAAAACATAAATCCTATAAAATAAAATATTTTATGCAAATTTTTATTTTAACAATATATATATATATACAATTATATACACTTATATATACTTTATATATCATAACAATAGCATTATATATATACTCAAAATATCTGACATCTAAATGCATCTAAATATTACACACACATTATTAGTAGAATTTTATTAATAAAATATTGAAAATTAATATTAAAAATAAAATATAAAAAATAATAATAATAATAATAAGATAATTGAAAATAAAACTTAAATTGTTTTATAATAATTGAGTATAGGATGCATTTAAAATTGAATGAAAAAATTATCATATATTGATAGGTAAGTAACTAAGTAATAAAGTAATCAATTATTATTATTATTATTATATTTGTATGAATAATAAAATTTAACCTAAAATTTTCAATTAAAATAAAATATTGAATCCGTTTTTTTTGTGTAAACAGAATAATAAATATTGTATTTTATATAATAGACAATAAAAAAATCTATTTATAAATTGTTGGTATTTTGAAATTTTTTTTTTTGAAATTTAAATTATCAAAAAATATTTTAATTTTATTGTTGTTGTCGTTAATAATATAGTTTATATTTTAGCTATAAAATAAATAAATATATAATTATAAATAAAATATTTTCAACTTAATATACTTAAAAAATACTAAAATAATTTATCAAAAAACTAAACAATAATTACCAAAAAAAACATCAATTATTGTTAAATTATTGTGAATTAGTTGCAAAAATAAAATAATACAATTTTTTAATCTTGCATTACATAGATAAACTAAAATAATTATTTTTGTATATAAATATATATTTAATATTAGTTTATAAACAAAATGATAACAATTAAAACAAAATAAAACAAATAAGGATTATATATATATTAATATATATAGTATTTATATTTATGTATAATATTTATGAAAAATAAAATAATAAGATTACAAAAATTTTTGTTTAATAATAAACTATGAAATATATTAATATTATATTTAATACCAAATAATATAAAATTTATTATTGATTATTTAAAAAATAAATTCATATTATCATTCATCTTATTATTTATACATGCACATTTATTATTTTTAAAAAATTATTAATACAAATGTGAGTATTATATAAAATTTATGTCTTATTGTTTTATGAAACTGCTAAATATTAGTTTATTATTATTAGTTATTTTTATTTTAAAAAATACAGTATTAATACTAATAATGATAAATTTTGTTTAATAAAAAACAAAATTTATAATAATAACAATTATTATTATTATATTAATAATACAGTATATTATTAAAAAAAAAAATAAACTTTATTTTGTTTGTTTTAGTTGACTAAACTAATTATAAACCTAATGAAAAACGGTATCCATAGGTGAGCCATACCGATACCAATGGCTGTCAAATATTTCAAACAAAATTGTACGAAACTTTGACGGCTAGCTATATGGCCAGTGGTCAGCTGTAAGTCACCGGTACGATCGACTCGACTGATGACCATATCATGTGATACACGTTTCCTATCGGATACCCAACCGATTCGGGCGAAACTGTCGATAAAAAATGTCGTAAAATTCCAGTTATACTTCCAGTCCAACTCCGAGGCCGAGTAATCCCTTCAAGATATACAGTATATACATAACAATTAGATAATGTTATCATTTAGTTTTAAGGAGTGCCACCTCTCCCCACCCGGGGTGGGTGGGTGGGTGGGTTGATGTAACTGTGCACACTATACCAGGGAAAGGTATGATGATAATTATGGAATCCCTCGCCAAATGTCTGAAAGTTGACAAAATTGGATTCTCTATTGTTTTTTTTTTGTTGAAAAAAATTTAATTATTCACAAATTAATACTAATATAGTATATATATATATAAATTAACTAATATATTGTCACATAATTATTAATATTAATAAATTACATAATAATAATAATTGTGTGGTTTTTTGTTTGTTTGTTTGGTTGGTTTATAAGCCATACCTGGGATTTATGTTTACATCATATGGACGATTGCCCCACAAATGAGCCGCTGAATTAACTAGCCAGGTACTATATTATATTAAATATAAAATTAATTAATTAATTATTAATAAAACTAATTATTTATATATATATATATAATTTGATAGAAAACTATTGTTGAGTACATACGGTACTAAATATTTTTATTTATTTTCAAATATATGTTTGGCTATAGAAAACTAAAAACTAAAAATTACTGAATATTTTAGTCCAATTAATTAAATTTTTTTTGTTAAAAACAAAAATTATACTGTACTAACTTAACATTTTTTCCCAGTAGATATAATTTTTTTAAAAAAATAAATAAAATATAATTTTCTTATATTTAATATAAATTTATAATAATAATAATAAAAATAAATTTACGACAAACTTGTTTAATGTATAAATATATCGGAATATAAAGCATACGAAAAATGAATTATAAAGTGTTTCCGACCAAAACATTATGGGTATGAGTGTCGGCACAATCACACCAAATACTAATGCCATCGACCGATAGTATCGGTGCTGAAACCTGACCATCGGATCGTTCCACAGGTCACTCATGTCGACGGTTTGACCATTGCGTAGGACATCGGGATGTCGGCGACACAATAGCCAACCGATATGCGAGAAAAAGAAACCCCGACTGGCATTGTGTGGATCGGAATCGGTTTCCGAGTACTTATGATGTACCCGATGGTCACGACACCAGTAGTAGAGGCTGTTCTCTACGGCCAATGTTTGAAATATGCATAACAGTGCTCTAAGCGATAGATTGGCTTTATAGGAATGATGAGACCATAAACGGTGGGCGCCGGCAGTTAAGCCCAAAGCTATTATGTGGTGAAGTATGTGTGTGTGTGTGTGTGTGAAGGGAAAGGGATATAAAAATTTCAAAAGAAAGAGAGAGAGAGAGAGAGAGTTAATTAAATTTGCGTTTTCTATAACAATATACTACAATATATATATCAGGGTTGCGAACGGTAAGGCCATATATATCATATATTTCTAGCTTATGGATTATTTTTGTTATAATATTTATAGAGCTTTTTTAAACTGATTTAAAAAAACAAATTATCTTAAAAACTAATTAAATATATATATATATATATATATATATATATATATATATATATAACAAATGGTGTCCATATAGTACAGTTCACTACATACCTGAGCAAACAACCATAAGAAACCAGGCAATAACTGTTTGATATTTGGCAGCCGTAACCATCAGGTAGGCGCCATACAGGGCACCGATATGTAATAGAGACATAATGAAGACATTACGCCAAACAATCTGTAGCTTATATGTGTTGTTACCCAAGGAGTTGATACCGTTTTGTTGTTGTTGTTGGTTGTGGACAGTCGGGTGATTTTTTTGGTGAACAATATCATCGCTATGATTTAGGTGGCGAAGCACTGGCTCATCGATTTGATCTACCGGTGCCATAGTGTATGTATGTATGTATTAGCTGACGTATAAAACAAATATAAATTTTTTAATTAAAACTGTTATTTAATTAAAATTGTTATTTAATTAAAATTACTATTTAATTAAACTAATTGAAATAAACTTACAAATTAATGCTAACTTTAACTATATATATATATATTGATTTTTTAAAAATAAAAATCTAATTAATTAATCATTTTAACATTAAATATGTTATTATATTTATAATAATTATGAAAAATAAAATAATAAGATTACAACCAATTTTTTGTTTAATAATAAAAAACAAAATTAATAATATCAACAATTATTATAATATATTAATAATACAGTATATTATTAGAAAATAATAAAAACTTTATCTATAAATTTGTTTGTTTTAGTTGACTAAACTAATTATAAACCTAATGAAAAACGGTATCCACAGGTGAGCCATACCGATGCCAGTGGCTGTCAAATGTTTCAAACAATATTGAGGAAAACTTTGATGGCTAGCTATATGGCCAGTGGTCAGCTGTTTATCACCGGTACGATCGACTCGACTGATGACCATATCATGTGATACACGTTTCCTATCGGATACCCAACCGATTCGGGCGAAACTGTCGATAAAAAATGTCGTAAAATTCCAGTTATACTTCCAGTCCAACTCCGAGGCCGAGTAATCCCTTCAAGATATACAGTATATACATAACAATTAGATAATGTTATCATTTAGTTTTAAGGAGTGCCACCTCTCCCCACCCGGGGGTGGGTGGGTGGGTTGAGGTAACTGTGCACACTATACCAGGGAAAGGTATGATGATAATTATGATATCCTTCGCCCATAGTCTGAAAGTTGACAAAATTGGTTTCTCTATTGTTTTWAAAAAAAAAAAATTAATTATTCACAAATTAGTACTTATATATATTGTCATATAATTATTAATAGTAATAAATTGCATAATAATAATAATTGTGTGGTTTTTTGTTTGTTTGGTTGTTTGGTTTATAAGCCATACCTGGGATTTATGGTTACATCATATGGACGATTACCCCACATATGAGCCGCTGAATTAACTAGCCAGGTACTATTATTAATATAAAATTAATTAAATAACAAATAAATAAATGTTAAAACTAATAATTATTTATATATATAATTTGATAGAAAACTATGGTTGAGTACTACATACTGTACTAAATATATATTTATTATATATATATTTATATTTATATACAGTATGTTTGGCTGAATAGATGTGCAAAAACTAAAAATTACTGAATATTTTAGTCCAATTAATTAAATTGTTTTTTTTTTGTTAAAAAAATTATACTGTACTAACCTAACATTTTTTTCCAATAGATATAAATTCAAAAAAAAATTAAAATAATATTTTATAATAATAAACCAAATAATTTCATTTGACAAACCTGTTTAATAAATAGATATATCTGAATATAAAACATATGAAAAATGAATTATAAAGTGTTTCCGACCAAAACATTATGGGTATGAGTGTCGGCACAATCACACAAAATACTAATGCCATCGACCGATAGTATCGGTGCTGAAACCGGAGCATCGGATCGTTCCACAGGTCACTCATGTCGACGGTTTGACCTTTGCTTATGACATCGGGATGTCGGCGACACAATAGCCAACCGATATGCGAGAAAAAGAAACCCCGATTGGCATTGTGTGGATCGGCATCGGTTTCCGAGTATTTGTGATGTACCCGATGGTCACGACACCAGTCGTAGACGCTATTTTCTACGGCCATTGTCTGTAATATGCATAACAGTGCCCGCAGCGGTAGATTGGCTTTATAGGAACGATGAGACCATAAACGGTGGGCGCCGGCAGTTATGCCCAAACCTATTATGTGGTGAAGTATGTGTGTATGTGAAGGGAAAGGGATATAAAAATTTCAAAAGAAAGAGAGATTTAATTAAATTTTTGTTATGTATAACAATATACTAAATATCTATATTTTTTATCATATATCACTAGCTTATGGATTATTTTTTGTTGTAATATTTATAGAGCTATTTTTAAACTGATTTAAAAAAACAAATTATCTAAACTAATTAAATATATATATATTATATTAATATATATATAACAAATGGTGTTCATATACAGTACACTACATACCTGAGCAAACAAACATAAGAAACCATGCAATAACTGTTTGATATTTGGCAGCCGTAACCATCAGGTAGGCGCCATACAGGGCACCGATATGTAATAGAGACATAACGATGACATTACGCCAAACAATCTGTAGCCGATATGTGTTGTTACCCAAGGAGTTGATACCGTTTTGTTGTTGTAGGTGTTTGTGGTGGTGATGGTTGTGGACAGTCGGGTGATTTTTTTGGGCAACAATATCATCGCAATGATTTAGGTGCCGAAGCACTGGTTCATTGATTTGATCTACCGGTGCCATAGTGTATGTTTGTATGTGTGTTGTGTCGGTTAACTTAGGGATAAAACAATTAACTTTTGATTTAAAATTGTTATTTAATAAAACTAATTGCAATGAACTTACAAATTAATGCTAACGTTAACTATATATTGATTTTTTTTAAAAATCAAAATTAATTAATTATTTTAACATAATTTATAACTAATACAATATATATCTACAGTATATATATATAACTGTTTATATATTTTATAAGTTGATTATACAGTATCTAAATCGCTATAACCGTTATATACTGTATATATATATATATAATTTGTTTTTTTTTAAATATATCACATAATATTATTTATAAAAAACATTTACACTGGTTATTTTCCAAATATATTTATTTATTTATTTTTATTATTACAAATATATTACAACAACAACAAAACTTTCACAATATTTGAATTTTAATTTGTTGTTAAATTTAACTTTTACTTTGAATTTTATGCAAGTATTTTTATTTTAATTTTTATTATTTTTATTATTATTATTATTATTACCAAATATATGATTTAGACGTATTTTTGCAAAATTATACATATATATAACGTTTTTCATATACGTTTAATTTTAATTGCAAATAAATATTTTAGCAAAAAAAAAATTGGCAATAATAATTTAAATAAAGTTTTTTTCAGGCAATTTAAAACATTATTATTATTTAAAAAAAATATATACAGTATATAAAATAATGTAATAGTTTAATAATATAGTATAGTATAGTAGAATAATATAGTAAAATATTAACACTATATTATGAAATTTTTTTTAATAAAGTTATTTTCAACAGTTTTTATTAATAAACTTAAAGTAAATTACAATTATTAGTTATTTACTGTAATAATAATAATTTTTAATTAATTTTTAATAATTTTTCTATTGATAGCAAAATATTTAATAGATATCTATAAATACATTGAATGCCCGCTTAAAATAAGTGAGTATTAATAAAGTTTTTTTTTAAAAAAATAAATGAATTAAAATATATAAACTTATAAAACTGTAAAATAATTAAAATATAAAATTACAGTACAATTTAACTGAAAAATTAAATTAAAATTATGATAATAAAATATACTGTATATTGTAATGTTTTTTATAAATTAATTATTTCTAAATTTTTTTCATATTTTATTTATCTTAAAAAAAATTTCAACAAAATTAATTTATTTAATTAAATAATTATTATCAAATCAAAAAAAAATATTCTAGAAAATAACAAAAGTTATTGAAAATATTTTACTGGGATTTTTTAAAATTAATTTTTTATTGATATTAAAATTTTTAAAAAATGTAATAAAACTGTAATAAAACTGTATAGTATTGTATAGAGGAGTCTATACCCCTCCTCCCCCTATAAAAATTGTTAACCTTTTTTAACTCTAAAATAAATAAATTTCTATCTTTTATAACCAAAAAAAATAAAATAAAATTTAATCAAAATTTATTTAAAAATAAAACAAATATTAAACTCAAAAATATTAAATTCTAAACTATTAATAAATTTTTTTTGTTTAACTAAATGACTAATTTTTTTTTGTTATTAATTGTTTGTAATATGATTTTTTGAAAATATAATTTCAATGACTTTTTTTAAAAAAAAAATTATAGCATTTGTTTTTATTTTGATCAAAAAATAACAATAATATACATAATATTTATAAAAACAATAAAATAATCATAAGTTTGAATGTTAAGTATAATACAACAAACAAACAAAACAAAAAAAACAATAATAAAATTAACAACAATTCTTATATATATTAATAACAATTATTATTATTATATTTAATAATAAAATTTAAATATTATATATATAAAAAAAAATCATAAAAATCTAATTATTTTTAATTAGTTGACTAAATTAATTAGAAACCTAATGAGAAACGGTATCCATAGTTGAGACATACTGCAACAAAATGCCGTCACATGGCTTAGACAAAACTGGGCATCAGTTTGATGGCTAGCTATATGGCCAGTGGTCAGCTGTTTATCACCGGTACGATCCACACGACTGGTAACCATATCATTGGATACACGTTTCCTATCGGATGCCCAACCGATTCGGGCGAAACTGTCGATAAAAAATGTCGTAAAATTCCAGTTATACTTCCAGTCCAACTCCGAGGCCGAGTAATCCCTTCAAGATATATATATATATATATATGTATATACATAACAATTAGATTTTAGATCCTTTTTTTAAGGAGTATCACCTCTACCCCCCGGGGTGGGTGGGGTGGAGGTAACTGTGCACACTTACCAGGGAAAGGTATGATGATAATTATGGTAGCCCTCGCCCATAGTTATATATGTAGCAATATTACACTCTCTATTGTTTTTGTTTTTTTAATTTGAATAAAAAATATACAAATTAGCTAATTTTGACCTTGCACTATTATATATATAGTATTTAAATAATTTACATAATAATAATAATAATTGTGTGATTATTAGTCATACCTGGGATTTATGGTTATATCATATGGACGATTGCCCCACATATGAGCCGCTGAATTAACTAGCCAGGTACTATTATTAAATATAAAATTAATTAATTATAATTAATTAATTTAAAAGTAAAATAATTAAATTCTAAAACATTTTTTTTTGTTGAAAAAATACTTATTTCTATTCTAATTAATTAATTAATTAATATCAATATTTTTTATTATTTAAATTAAGTTAAATAAATTGAATTTTATAAAATAATCAAAAAAATATTTATTGTGTACATTAAAACTATAATTATACTGTATATAGAAAATTTTGAATCAGTATTTTGAAATGTTTGATACGATATATGATACTAAATATATACTAAAAAAATAATAGTTTAATATAATATAAGTTTAATATAAGTTTAATATTATTATATTAAATTAGTATTTACTGTATTATTGAATTGTATATTTAAAGTAAATATTTTATAAAAGTTGTAAAATTAAAAATATTAATTATTAATCACTATTTATTTTTTTCAATCCTATTAAAATTTTTACAAATAAACCTCCAAGGAGGAAATTAACTAAAAAAATAAAATTGACTAATTTTACTTTTTTTTATAATAATAATTTTTTAAAAAAAATAACTCATCTAACATACAGTAAAACCTGAGATACTGTATTATTATTAGTATCCAATATATAATATAATTTTAATAATAATAATAATAATAATAAATTTATAACAAACCTGTTTAATGTATAAATATATCGGAATATAAAACATATGAAAAATGAATTATAAAGTGTTTCCGACCAAAACATTACGGGTATGAGTGTCGGCACAATCACACAAAATACTAATGCCATCGACCGATAGTATCGGTGCTGAAACCGGAGCATCGGATCGTTCCACAGGTCACTCAAGTCTACCGATTGGCCTTTGAGTTGGACGTCGGGATGTTTGCGGCACAATAGCCAACCGATATGGGCGAAAAAGAACCCCCTGTTGGCATTGTGGGGGTCGGCATCGGTTTCCGAGTACTTGTGATGCACCCGATGCTCACGACACCAGTCGTAGACGCTATTTTCTACGGCCATTGTCTGCAATATGCATAACAGTGCCCTCAGGCCTAGATTGGCTTTGTATGAACGGTGAGACCATAAACGATGGGCGCCAGCAGTTATGCCCATACCTATTATGTTGGTGAAGTGTGAGTTAGGGAGGGGAGCGGAGGGGGGGAAAGGGAGATACAAATTGCGAGAGTGTGAGAGAGAGAGTTAACTTAAAATTTTCGGTACAATTATAATCTACTGCTTCTGTATAATATAGAGTAAGATTTATATATATATATATATATATTGATTATACCGTATATGTACTGATATATTACTAGCTTATGTATCTTAAAAGCTTAGGGATTATTTTAAATAAACTAATTATGTTCACAAAAAAAAAACAAATTATCTAGCTAATTTAAAAAAAACAAAACAAAACATACCTGAAAATATGTACATGAAAAACCAGGCGATAACTGTTTGATATTTGGCGGCCGTAACCATCAGGTAGGCGCCATACAGGGCACCGATATGTAATATAGCCATTACGATGACATTACGCCAAACAATCTCCAGTTTATACGGGGAATCCGTACCCAAATGGTTGACATCATTTTGTTGGTGTTGGTGTTCATAATGGTTGTGGACAGTCGTGTGATGTTTTTCTTGGATCATATCATCGGTATTATCATTATTATTACGGCAACGAAGTACCGGTTCTTCCATTTGATCTACCGGTGCCATTTGGTATCGGTTAACTTTTTTTTATAGTTAACGGTAATAATAATAATTGAAATAATAATTTTTTTTTATTATTTATTAATAATAAAATAAACTATTTATTAAACTTTTATTTTAAAATTATTATTATGAAAAATATTATTAAAAAATAGTTAAAAACTATTTTTGTGTGAATTTTTTTCTAATTAATTAATAATACATTTTATTGAAACATTTGAAAGATATAATTTAGAAATTATATTTATACTGTATATATATATACATATATAAAAATTTATTAATTATAATAAATATTTTTATATTGTTTTTTTTTTGAGTTAATATATTTTAATTAAATCACATAATATATTATTTATCATAAAACATTTACACTGGTTAATTTCAAATATAATTTATCTATAAATTATATCTATAAATAAATTATTATTTTTTTATAAAATGCATGAATAACAAAATTTTACAAAAAAATATATTACAATTATTTTATAAAAAACTTTCACAATATTTAGTACTGTATTAATACTGTTAAAAAAATAAAATAATTAAATTTAATTGTTTAACATTTTTTATTTAATCATTTTATAACAGTATTAATACTACTAATAATATTATTAGCAAATTATAATATTATAAATATAATATTTTGTGTGACAAACATATTTGACGTATTTTTGTAAAAAAAAAAATTAATTATTATTTTATATATATATTTGAATTTTATTTCAAACAATATATATATATATAGTCATAAAACTTAGGCAACAATAATACTGTATAAAAATAAGATAAAAAAAATTTCGGTGATAAGGAAAATGACAATTTAGTTATAATACATTACTTTTTAATTTTTAAAAACAGTTTAAAAAACATTAAAATAATAATAATGTAAAAATAAAGTTTAAAAACTATTTAGTATAAATTATTTTGAAAAATAATTAATTAAATATTATTTTAAAAATAAGTGAAAGTGTTATTAATAATTATTTTTTGTTGTTATTGTAAAACAACTGGTGCCGGATCATACATGTAAGTAAATCATAAAGTTACCCAGGTTAGCATAAAATATTATTAATAATTAAAAATAATAATGTTATTTATCAAGTATAAAAATATTGAAACACCTATTATTAATTTTTGTTTATGTTTACAAATAATATAAAATAAAAATAATATTTTTTTTTTAAATATAATTTTATAAAGATTTATTTATTTTATTGTTTTTATTATTATCATTTTTTTATATTAATATTATCAAATTATTAATAATAATTCATTACTACTATCATAGCTTATTTTAAATTTAATTGTGGGTCTATTTTTATTTTAATAAAATTGTGAACAAAATAATAATAATAATTAATTTAAAAAAAACAAATAACAATAATATAATATTATTTACAGTAAGTTTTTTTTATATAAAGTGCAACAAAATCTAATTTAATTAAAATTATTAATAACAAAAAAAAAGTATTTAATAGGAAATAATATGTTTTGTTTATTTTAAATTTAATTTAACAAAATTTTTTTTAATTAATTTATTTATTTAGTTGACTAAATTAATTAGAAACCTAATGATAAACGGTATCCACAGGTGAGCCATACCGATACCAGTGGCTGTCAAATGTTTCAAACAAAATTGTAGGAAACTTTGACGGCTAGCTATATGGCCAGTGGTCAGCTGTTTATCACCGGTACGATCCACACGACTGGTGACCACATCATTGGATACACGTTTCCTATCGGATGCCCAACCGATTCGGGCGAAACTGTCGATAAAAAATGTCGTAAAATTCCAGTTGTACTGCCAGTCCAACTCCGAGGCCGAGTAATCCCTATATATATATAACAATTCAAACAAACAAACAAATTAATTAATTAATTAAAACTAAATATATAATAATTTAGATAATGTGAACATTATTTTTTAAAGGAGTGGCACATTCACCCCGAGGTTGGGGGAGGAGGGGCTGTCTTACCAGGGAAAGGTATGATGATAATTATGGTAACCCTCGCCCATAGTTTGAAATGTGGCAAAACCGCACTCTCTATTGTTTTTTATAAAAAAATTAATTATTTAAAAATTATTTTATTTAATTAATCAATTAATTAAAACCACAAATTAACTAATTTTATTTTCGCACAATTAGTTAGATTACTAATTTACATAATAATAATAATTGTATTATTATTTTTGGTTTATAAGCCATACCTGGGATTTATGGTTACATCATATGGACGATTGCCCCACATATGAGCCGCTGAATTAACTAGCCAGGTACTATTATTAATATAAAATTAATTAAATAATTAATTAGTTAATTAAAAAAATTATAGAAATAAATGTTTAAAACAGTTTATATAAATTAATTATTTAAAAAAAAAACTAATAATTTATATACACTATTAATGTTTAAGTTAAGTTATATATTTACTAATAACTAATAATTTAAAATTAACTAATTATAGTTACATAATTAACGAAATTAACAATTATTGTTTGAAATACTGTATATATATATGTAGTATAAAAAAATAATATTTTTTTAATGTAATAACATTTTGCTTTTAAGTAGTATTTTATTTTTATTTGTTTGTTAATAAATAATACTATTGTACCGTAAATAATAAAAAAATAATAATTACTGTTATCGTTGTATTTAAAAACTATTATAAAATACTAGTGTGAATACGGTATAACTTTTTTTTAAAAAAAATATGTAATTTATTGTCTTAGATTTTTTTAGGTTCAATTAAATTTAACAAATAAATCTACTACTAATCCATGGAAATTAAATAATTAAAAAAAAGTAATTTTAATTTTTTCTAAATCATCTAAATCTAAGATACACTATAACCTAATAACAACAACAATAACTTTTAATAGATATCTTTCTAATAAAAATTTTAAATAATTTATTTTCTAGAAATATACAAATATTAGTATTTAAAATATATGTAATAATTTTTGTTATAAAGTTATAGATATATTGTATAGTTATATACATTATATATATACATATTGTATATATTATTTGATATACAGTAATGGCAAACCTGTTTAATGTATAGATATATCGAAACATAAAGCATATGTAAAATGAATTGAACAGTGTTTCCGACCAAAACAGCGCCGGTATGAGTGTCGGCACAATCACACAAAACACTAATATCATCGGCCGATAGTTCCGGTGCTGAAACCGTAGCATCGGATCGTTCCACAGGTCACTCATGTCTACCGATTGGCCTTTGAGTTGGACGTCGGGATGCTTGCGGCACAATAGCCAACCGATATGGGCAAAAAAGAACCCCCTGTTGGCATTGTGGGGGTCGGCATCGGTTTCCGAGTACTTGTGATGCACCCGATGGTCACGACACCAGTCGTAGACGCTGTTCTGTAGGGCCATTGTCTGAAATATGCATAACAGTGCCTTCAGGGGTAGGTTGGCTTTGTATGAACGGTGAGACCATAAACGGTGGGCGCCAGCAGTTATGCCCAAACCTATTATGTGGTGAAGTGTGAGTAAGTAAGTGAGTGAGTGAGTGAGTGAGTGAGTGAGTGAGTGAGTGAGTGAGTGAGTGAGTGAGTGAGTGAGTGAGTGAGTGAGTGAGTGAGTGAGTGAGTGAGTGAGTGAGTGAGTGAGTGAGTGAGTGAGTGAGTGAGTGAGTGAGTGAGTGAGGGATTCAAATTTGCAACAAACACACAGAGAGAGAGAGAGAGAGAGAGAGAGAGAGAGAGAGAGAGAGAGAGTTAATTAAATTTTCGTTATAATTATAACCCACTGATTGTGGATAATATAAAGTAAGGTTAGTATAAACAGTATATATATATATATATATATTGTAATATATTATTAGCTTATATATCTTGAAGCTTATGGATTATTTCTAGATAAATGATCTTTATTTTTTAAAAAACAAATTATCTAGGTAATTAAAATTAAAAAAAAACAAATCTATACAATAGTACAGTACATACCTGAGCACATATACATAAGAAACCAGGCGATAACTGTTTGATATTTGGCAGCCGTAATCATCAGGTAGGCGCCATACAGGGCACCGATATGTAATAGAGACATAATGAAGACATTACGCCAAACAATCTCTAGCTTATATGTGTTGTTCCCCAGAGAGTTGACACCGTTTTGTTGTTGTTGTTGCTGTTGTTGATGATGGTTGTGGACAGTCGGGTGATGTTTTTCGTGTAGTACATCATTGTTATTATTACGGCAACGAAGCACTGGCTCCTCGATTTGATCTACCGGTGCCATAATGTGTGTGTATGTATGTATGTGTGGTGTCGGCTAACTTTGTGTTGTTGACGGGTAATAATTAACTTTTAATTTATATTTTTGTTAATAAAAAAACAATTGCACTAAAATTATTAAAATTATTATATATATATTAGCAGATATTATTAATTATTTATTAATTATTTAAAATTAATTAATTAATAATACATTGATTAATCATTTATAATTAATATTTAATCGTTGACAGTATTATACCGATTATATTGTAAATTAAAATTTATTTAATTATATTTAATTGTTATAAATATTTATATATATTTTGTAAATGTATTTTTACAAAAAATTAATATCTATTTTTAATTAAATCACACATTTAATTAATTTTTTTTGAAAACAACTTACACTGGTTATTTTCAATTGAATTATATTTATATATGTAAATCAATTATTATAACAAATAACAATTACACCGATTAAACAAAATTTTGACAAATATTTACACAAAAACTTTCACAATATTTTTATATATATATTAATAGTTACTTATTTTTGTTGTTAAACATTTACATTGAATTTCATACTCAAAAAAATAATTTTTTAATATAATTTGTTTTTTATGACAAAAACACATAACATATACATACAGTACATTTGACGTATTATTTTTGCACAAATATATAAATTTATATATTATTATTATTATTATTTTATCATATAACTGAATTTGAATTTTATTTTTTTAATTGCAAACAAAAATATTAGGCAATAATATTAGAAATAATAATTTGTTTGTCGGATAAGGAAAATAACATTATAAGTTATAAGACATTACTAATATTTTTTATTATTTAAATAAAAAAAACAGTTAATTAGAAAAAATATGTATTATAATAGTATAGTAAAATATTGGGCCATAATATTATCAACAAAAAAATAAATAAAATTAATATATATATTATAATATTTTTTTTAAAAAAAATAATAAGTAAAAGTATTATATGAATATAAAAGGGCTGACCTTTTAAACAACTGGTGCCGATATCCTGGGACTGGCATTGATATCCAGTACTAATAGATTTTGTTTTTTTTTATTATTAAATAATTTAAGTAAATGGTTGTCAAGTAATAGTACAGTATATAGTATATTAGTAACACTTTTTTTTACTTATATTATATAGTATTTTAAATACAGTATTATTATTATTATTATTAGTTTCATGCAATACTAACCTACTGTTTCACTCATACATACATACATACATACAGTATATTTAAGATAATAGTTGGCCAACAAAATACTTTTAAAAGTTGTCATTTAGTATTAGTATTATAATAAACTAATTAAAATAATAATAATAATAATAACAAAACAAAAATTGCTTTTAAACTATTAGCCTATTAAATTAGTTAGTTAGACCTCGACTTTCACTTTTTATTTTAGATATTTATTTATTTATTTAATTTGAATTGAATTGATTAGGATAAAAATTTTTAATTTAATTTTGTTATTAACAAAAAAATAATAATAATTAATAATAAAATAGAGATTTATATCATTAAACATATATACAGTATATATATACTGTATATAAAGTATAGGGACAACACAATTGCGTGTTTGAATATATAAAAAAAAGTAATTTTATTTTATTAAAAAAAACTATTATTATTATTATTATTAAATTGTCTTAAATTGTTTGTTATATTAGATATATATATATTACAGTTGAAGTTCATGGATAACAACAACAAAATAAAAAAACACTAATTAATCAAATCAATTGTCACAACAACAACAAAAATTACAGTAATAATAGCAAAAAATATTGTAATAATAATAATAATAATACATAGTATTCACAATTGTCATCAAAAAAAACCTAATATATATTATCACTAAAAAAAAGTATTATATATTTTGTCATTAAAAACCCAATATATTGTTATTTATAATATTAAAAACCCAATATATTATTGTTAGAAATATACACACAGTATTGATATAAAATACTAAATTATAATATAATTATTATATATCTATATTTAAAAAAAAAAATTGTGGTTAACATTTTATATGTCAAAAAATAAGACTCATATATATATATATATTGGTATTTTCAAAAAAAATAATATTTTTATTACATTTATAAATATATAAATTGTATTCAAATATACGTATGAAAAGTAAAATAAATTGATGAATATTAGAGATAAAATAAAATGTGATTTAATGTGATTTTTTTGTAACTAATTTTTTTAAAACATAATAATAATTTTATTATATTTCTCATACTAATAGTTATTAATAGTTTGTTAATAAGTAATAGATATTAAATATATTATAAATACTAAATACTGACTATAAGTTAAATTGTAATTATTTATTTGTAAAAAAAATTATCAACTTTTATAAGTTATAACTTTGTTTTTAATAATTTTTATTTTAGAGTAAAGTATTCAATTGCATTAATAAACATATAAATATTAAAAATAAATTTCAATTCAATAATTACTAATATATATTAAAAAAATATTTACAGAAAATATATTATATTAAATAATTACTGTATAATTATTAACATAAAAATTTATTTATTGCAAAACAAAAATAATATATTAATTTGATTAAAAAAAATTATGAATGATAATAACAATAATAATAATAATAATAAACTATACAATATATATATATTAAAAAATATAATTTAAATTTTACAATAATAATAATAATAATAATAATAATCATCATATTTAACATAAAAAAAATCATATTTAATGGTATATTTTAACGGCAACTATCAGATAGACGACCACTTGAACGGGCATTTCATAGTAGATGTATTCAACCGAATAGACCGCCGCCAGTGCCAGCCTTTTTAGCTGCCGATGCCTTAGCGCCGGCAGCAGCAGCCTTAGCACCGGCAGCTTTGGCTCCGGCAGCCGCCTTAGCGCCTGCTTTAGCGCCAGCTGCAGCCGCTGCAGCCTTTTTGCCAGCTTTGCCAGCCTTGGCCGCACCGGCGGCACCGGCAGCTCCGGCCCAGCCTGCCTTTTTAGCTCCACCACCGGCAGCACCGCCAGCGGCAAATCCACCGCCGGCCTTACCGAACTTGAATCCCTGGGCCATACCGAATGTCTTGACCGACCCGAACTTGGCATTATGGCCGGCACCGAACGCTTTGGCGAACTTTCCCTTTTTGCCGCCTTTGGCAAACTTTGAACCGGCCGCACCAAAAGCGCCCGCTTTGGCACCCTTTTTGCCGCCGGCAGCGGCCGCTGCGCCTCCTGTTGCGAATCCGCCAGCTATTCAATCAACAACAAAAAAAGAAAATAAATATTTGCTAACTGTCCTCTCTCTCTCTCCCCTCTCACTCACTTACTCACTCACTCACTCACTCTCTCTCTCTCTCTCTCTCACATACAAACTTAAAAACTAAATTAACAAAAGTTTTTATTAATTATTATTATTATTATTTAACTTACATTTGGCTGCTTTAGCACCGGCAGCTGCGGCTCCTGTATGTATGTAAAAAAATAAATAATATTGTTTTAGTTAATTAATAAGTAAAATGTAGACAAAAAACAAACAAACAGCAAAAAAAGTTTACAGGTATTAAACAATAGTCGTTTTGTTTACCTTTAGCTCCGGCAGCGGCCGCCGCGGCTCCAGCTTTGGCCGCTTTGGCACCGGCAGCTGCCGCAGCTCCGCCCGCTTTTCCGCCGCCTCCCGACTCGGCCACTGCCAGATCCAGTTCGCTTGAGTCGGTATCCAATTCGTCGTCGACAACCACCAGATTGTCGTCCATGTCCTGAGCGATAACCGCCGCACCGATGACTAGACATAAGAGTAACTAAAAAACACAAAAAAAAATTATAACAGAAAATAAATTACTGTTTTTTTCGTGTCTTCAAAAAAAACTAAATGATTTTAAAGTATTGCTAATAATATTAATAATGAAAAATATTAATTACATATTTGAACAACATTTTGGTGCTATATATCTAATACACAAAAAAATATAAAATAAAATAATACTAAACGACTACAAAACTAACTAATTTTAGACTAAAAAAAAAGTATTATAAGTTTTTTTTTGGTCTAAAAAAATACTTTTATTTTCTATCACTAACTGTTTGTGATATGATTTTGAAAATCTAAATTCAGTTACTTTTTATAGCAATTGTTTGTTTCCCAAAAAAATAAATAAATACTACTAAATAATAATAATAATAATGATATACATATCTCCCTCTAATAAATATATGACATAATTATATGAAAATATTTGTGTATACTATATATGTTTTTCTTATATATATATATTAATCAATTAGTTTACTATTTTACAATCACTGGTCACACATGTGATTGTATAGACAGTATTGTCTGTGAACTTGAAATATTTGTTTTAAAAATATTTTATTTGAACAACAAAAATATTAAATATTAAAATATTTCACACCTACCGGTGCTGTACAATCAAATTTTTTATTTAACAACAATAATAATAATAATGAGAGACTACAGGTAGTATATACCGTCGGAAAGTCATTGTTGCCCATATCCTCACCAGACATACCGTCACTTAAACAACTCTAATAATACTAAATACAAAAAATTTATTAATGATTTTAATTAAGCCATTAATGTCTAAGAAAAAAATAATGATATATTTGTCACTATATAACTAAATATAAACATATTTTACAAATTGTTTGTTTGTTTTTAAATAAATTTTTCATTCATTAAACAATTTGTGTGTTTTAGTTATTTATGTTTTTATGTTTTTATTTCCTTATTTAGTCACACAATTTTAGTTAACTAATTGGCCATTAATTATAGTGACATTTTTGTTGAAAAAAATTTATTTAAAAAACTATATTGATAATTTTTTGTTTTTATTAAAAAATTAATATTTTAAAAATAATTTACTAACTTTATTAATTTTTTTTATTATGTTTTAATAGTTATTAATATATAAACAGTATTAAAAAAACGTTTAGTTGTCTAATTAGATATTTTATATACCTGTATATTAATACTAAATAAATCACTTAATAAATTATTGCACTATAAAATTATATTATATATTGTTTACAAAAAAAAAGATATTCAAACCTTGAATTTAATTTTTTTTTTGATAGTAATTATATTGTATAATAAAAACTAATAAAATGATAATTATTTGTGATTTTATAGTTTTTTCAAATGTAATAAATATTAATAAATATGTTAATATTAAATTTTAAATATTAAATTTGCTAATAATATATTTTATTAGTTGTCAAAATCAATTAAACTTAGTAATTATTTATTATTATTATTATTATTATTATTATTATTATTATTATTATTATTATTATTATTATTATTATTATTATTATTATTATTATTATTATTATTATTATTATTATTATTATTATTATTATTATTAATAGTAATATAATCATCAATGAAATAAAATATTTGATTTTTTGAACAGTAGTTTATACTATAAAAAATTAACATTTATTTTTTTTAATAAGTATAAAATTAATTACTAAATAATAAGCATATAAAATAAATATAAAAAAAATTGAATATACTTTTTTTGTTTTGTTTGTTTATTCAAAAAAATCATGAAAATTAAATAAAAATGCATTAATTTTGTTTCAATGTTTTTTATAAAAAAAATATTATTTAGGATTGCCCTTTAAAAAATGTTGGGAACAGTTAGCTTTATAAATAATAATAATAATAGATATCAACTGCATAAATATACAGTATATACTGTATATATATATATTTAGTACAATATATATATAAGGGTGTATATTACCTTGATTTTACTATATATAGTAGTGGTATATTATATATTAAAATTTTTTTATATCAAAACTACAGTATAAACCGTAGTTAAATCAATTAAATGTAGATTTATCTCTCTCTCTCTCTCTCTCTCTCTCTCTCTCTCTCTCTCTCTCTCTCTTTCTTTCTCTCTAATACTATAAGTAAAAAAACTTTAATTATATTTAACTTTAATACTTTTATTTTGGTTACTTTTGTTACAAACATTTTGTTGTTGTTGTTGTTGTTGTTGTATATTTTGATTTTAATTGTAATCTCTTTTTAATTTAACAAAAAACTTATAACTTATAAATATATAAC